TAAACTTGCTACATGAATAGAGAGGGTGACATGGTTCAGAGTATCAATACTTTCTTTTAACCCAGCTGAAATATCAAAATCTCTTTTTATAAACTTTCACTAAACACCCATCTTTCCACCACAATCACTTCACACCTACTTCCCTTATTTAAGCTTGATAAATGTCCCTAATTCCTTGTATTCAGTGTATTAACAACTTCGAAAACTGATACATATCGTATGATACAATGAAACATATCGATGCTTTTTGAACCATGAAGGGTGATCAGTGACGAAAGTTCCACGTATACCCTCGAAAGCTGCCACAAGTAAGAATTGTAGGCCACTCATGTCCCCTTCCTAGATGACACTGTCAACATACACCTAAACAAATAAGGGAGACAATAAATTATAATTAACATCCTAATTCACAGGCATTAGGGAGATAACGGGATAATTGTGCAGGTCATTTCTTAATCTTATCTTGCTATTTCTTTTTTCTGTTATCAACTCTTACTACTTACTTCAGCTCCCAATCCACCCAAGAGATTTTTCACTAATAAATTAACTAACACAATAATCCCTATCATCATCATCATCACTTACATGGTTGGGAGTGGTTTGGGTGTGCGTTTAACTATTAAAAAAACACAAAAGACAAGGAAGATAGAGATCCAATGGGCTGTCATTATCTAATTAGTTTTTTTTTATTTCCTTGACCCAACTGATCTTCAAATGACATATAGCATACATCAAGGGTTTGTTTGGTTTGCTTCTGAAATCGAAATTAAAATCCTTTAGAATTGAAAATGAAATTGTCTATTCCCATAATCTGTTTGGTTCAAACAAGAATCAGATTTAAAATTGGAATCATCCATAATGATATATCATTTCCAAGATAGGGAGAGGGAGTGGCTATTCACTTAAATGGGGAATACCATTTTGCTAAAAATGAAAATGGAATTCCAATTCCATCCAACCAAACGATTGGAATCAGAAAGGATTACTCCAATTCCAATYCTAAACCACTATTCCCACAAACCAAATCAAATGGACCCCAAATGATGAATATACTGCTTACATGGAGCCCAAGTATTCATCAGCAAGCCTAGGATAGGGCTAATATAATACAATATTGCTACCAAAAGGCAAAAATACCAAAAAAAAAAACATAATAATAGTGATTTTAAAGCCATTTTCTTCTGTCTTTTTCATGATTAAAAGAGATAAGCTATTAAAAGCTGATTAAATTAACTTATTAGTTCTTAACACTAAATTTAAGAGACAGTAAAAAAGACAAAAGAAATTAAATAAAAAAAAAAGAGGGGAGCTGGCATTTGATTTGTATGGTCCAGAAGTTCACATTCACATTCCCTTGGTCAAAGCGCGTGGACCAATACAAGCTTGAATATTTCATTTCTTTGGGTGGCGAAATCACTTCCCCCCATAAAAACCTTTGTGTGAACATTTATTTTTGTTCCACAGTGATTATTTATTGTTATTTAATACCATGTTGTATAAAGAATTAAAGATAAAACCATCCAACAATTATGCTGTGGATTTGTTGCTCAGATGAGATTCTCATCACCCAAACCCAAGAGGAAAATGGGTTTGGGTTCGGATCTTATTATTGGGTTCATTTTACAATTTGAAACCTTGTGATAAACTAAACCCGCTCCATATATATAGGTACTGAATAGTGTGGAATGTCCACATGACCAGCTGCATTTCATGCCCTAATTTTCCTAGCCAAGGGAAATGAATAAAAAAAAGGATGGAATTTTACCAAGTTGGGAGATGATGTTGGGGAGACACKCAGCAGTTTTGAGGCATCTTAAAAGATTCTAGTGCAAAATTTGTACTCGGTGCATATTTACATGTATTTAATTATAACCAACTAACCATGAGTTGTTGTACCCTTATCTGATCTTATGAAAATTTTGCACTTTCTTGTTTCATTTTCACAAAAAATTTGCATTATCTTTCCTCATATGTCCTATCTTTCATTTTCTCTCATGCAAAGTGGGACCACATTATTTTACTTTCCATTCTACTCCTCCCAAACAAACAAACTTCCTTCTACTTTGAATTATTTATTTATTTTTTCATTAAAAATGGCAGCCACATCATTCCACTTCCAACTTTATTCCTCTCAAAGAAGAACTTAAAAACAGAAATAAATCAAAAATTGCCTTCAAAATATTTGCATCTCATTTTCACTGCAAATAAAATGGAACCTTTTTTTTTTGTGTGTATGAGATTATCGAATACTTAAGGCTCTATTTGAAAAAAATATAAATATAAATTTATAGAGTACAAAACCTTAAATTTTATATTATTATGTACATATTTATATTTTACGTATTTGTATTTGTTTTCTTTTCAAACTGAGCCTAAATGTCAAAAGCCCGTGAGACTAGCTTTGGTCCCAGAATCCTATGGGAGCAAGAAACACACCACTTGGTCTGTAAAGTCCCTGTGCTCTGATTGATGAACTCTGGGTTCCATCAGTGAGTGATTTGATTTCCATTGCCAGCGAAACACCCATTTGGATAGACTCGTCAGACGTACATATTCAAATTGGATCAGCATCGAAAAGATGCAACTGTCCCAATGATGCCCATAGCAAGGCACCATACACCACAAATCTGGAATATTGTGAATGGGACCCATTATAGAGAAGTAATAAGAGAATTTTTGTGTGGGTAGTATGGTCATTGTGCATTGAATTATTTGGGGGAGGAGGAGGGGTCCTATTGGATTGTGTTTGGTGGTGTAAGAGTAAGAAACTAAGAGAAACAATCCAACCCAATCCAACTCAACCCCATTCAATTGCCACGCGCTCTCTCTCTCTCTCTCCCTCTGTCCAGTTTTTAACTCGTTTGGCCAATCAGAATTATTTTCAAATGATGTCTATCTCCAAACCCACCAAATCTCTCTCCTCTCCCCACTCTCTCTCTCTCTCTCTCTCCATGCTTATTTCTTGTCTCCTTTCTTTTTATCTTTTGTTTCGATATATCACGTGATAATCGTCTCTATCCATCTATGCCCGTCCTTCCACATCCCAACTCTTTATATACCCATTTTACCCTTGTCCAACCCCTTCCAATCACATTTCTTAAACCCTCATCAATATTTGTTCAACTTTACATTTGAAGGGGTCCATCCCAAGTGCCACAGTGTAAATTCATTAAATTGGATACCCAACTTGCACCACCTGACCCCACCCATAAATGGGCTTCATACTAAAGATTTCAAGCATTTAAAATCAAAAGAACCGGGCTACAATGAGGGTGCCCATATCATAACTCCACTGAAGTACCCTTCCATCAATGGCCACAGTCCCATGTAGGGAAGATCTGGATCTACCCTTTGAATAAAGTTTCATCTAAAATAAGTATCCATTTTATAAAGCAAGCATGTCTAATTGGGTTCATTGGATTGTCACTGATTTTTGTCCAACTATCATCTAGAGTGGGACCCATCTGATAATGGGCTCCGATCTTCCCAACTCAGCCACATGGCAGCTCATCAGTGGGCCTTAATGCTGGTTTAAGTTAATAATAGTCTTCGAACTCAAATAAAAGAGGATGTGGGCCCTATTCTTAGTTAAAGTTGATTTTTTTTTTTTATAAATAAAATCTGATTTCAATCTCCTAATTTAAATTAAACAAGTTAAATACCAAGCCCATACTGAGTACGGGCTTGGTATTTAACTTGTTTTATCATTAATAAGGAAAATTTCTTTAAATTATTCCTTCTTAATTGTATTCTTACTGTTTATATATTATTTTAAAGTAGGTTTATTGTTTATAAAAATTGACATTCAAGTACTAATAAAAAAAAATGAAATATCAAATTTGTCCTCTACTATTCCTTAAATTTCAAAATAAAACTCAACTGATTGATGAACTGTTCGGATGATGATGTTTCGGAGCAATTCCAATGATGATCTTTCTCTCTCTCTCTCTCTCTCTATATCCGTTATTTTTTTAATCGTTTTCTCTGTAGCAGACCCAAAAATGACTACCACTAAGCAACAGCGGCTCCTTTGCATCTCTCTTCTCTGGTTCTTCCTCTCTCTCTCTCGTCACCTCCTGTCTGCTGCTGCTGCAACGAAAATGGGCGCAACGCAAGCCGATATAAAACAATTCCAGAATGCACACATCACCAGTGGCAACGATAACGGAATCCACTAAAATGATCTTCCAATCGGTGAAAACCTTGAACCAGACCCACATTTGACAAGTGGATCCCCTCTCACAGCAACCAAATTGATGATTTGAATATAAACTTTCTGATCAGATCAACTATGAGCTTTTATTATTTGATCTCGTGGATCTGCTTAGGCATTTTCCCTGGCTTTCAACGAAGAGAAGCACCAAATCGCCTGAAGTTGCATGATCTCTTTTTTCATCTTTTAACGGGCACAACTTCAGGGATTCCAAATACTTCAGTTTGTTGCTTTAACAGACTTGATGATCATCAACAGGTGATGGGGATCTGGGTTACAGTGACATGATAGGCATGGAAAATAGATAAATAAGAAGAAATTGTCGTCATTTTTGTTGATTTCTGATTCTTCCTAATCACTCCACAATGACCCCTGTTTTCTCTCTCAGATATGTGCCCATTTCGTTCTATCCCTTCATGTTGGTTTTCTAGCTTTTTTGAAGGTTATTGAATAATGAAGGGTATTTTAGAAATTTTAAAATAATTACCATTCATGTAATATCACATGTGGATAAAGTGTAATGTAGACAATTATTAAAAAACTTAAGGATACTTAATTGTGATATTAATAATACAAGATGTGAGTGGAGAACACATAACAGGCAATGAAAGGGTAATATGGTCTTTTCATCACGATATTCTTCCGAGAAATTGACTGAAAAAGTATCGGCGATTGCAGGAGCGAAACCGGAGCATGTGCTGTTGGTAGTGTATCCTACTCTGCGTTCGCTCTCTCTCTCTCTCTCTCTCTCTCTCCTACATTTCTCAATGAACTCAACCTTTTTTTTTTATTTCAATTTTATTCTATTCTATTTTTTTACTAGCAAACAACAGTGGCTTCAATCCTTCGCTTTTTCTCGTTTTAACAGAAAGACTGGAGAAAAAGAGGAAAAACCGGTCCTTTTACCAAACAAAAGAAAAAGAAAGTATTCCTTTGGATTCCTTCTCTTTGATCTCATGGAATGGAATGCCGTTGTATTGATGATTTTTGGGACTTGGGTCTGAAAATTCAAGCAAGAAAATAAGTGAGCCTGTTTTGAATTTTTCTCTCCTTTCCTCTCTTCTATTGGGTTTCTTTTGGATTCTTTTCCCGAAATTATTCCAACAAGGTAGGTGGGTCTCTCTTGATGTTTCCATTTCTGTCTCTATTGCTGTGAATTTGGTTGATTTTAAGGTGGATTTCGCAGTATCAGAGATCTTGCTTAATCCTTTTGAGCTCCTACTGCTGAAGAGACTTGGAGATCTTTGAGGAAATAAATTGTAGAGTTTTGTGGCTATTAATTTCTCTAGCCTGTAGGATAGAGAAGACAATAGATTTAGAGACTGATTATACACCAAAAAAGCAGAGACTGATCACAGAAAGCTTCATTTTCTTGCGTGAAGAGCAACCTATAGTTTCTTGTAGTAATACGTTTGAAGGAGAGAGAGGAACCCGTATAGAGAGATTATCTGAAAGGGTGTTTTTTTTTATTCTCTTTTTTTGGTCAATCTGGAAGGGCGTTGTTTCCGTTTTGTATTTATTGTTTTTTTCTTTTCATATTCTGTTGCTTGGTGGGTTTGCAACACTTTCGGGTTCAATTTGTGATTTTAGTGTGAAAGGAGCTCCTTTTCTTTCAGTTGTTTTTCATCCTGTTAGTTATTTTCCTCTCTTTTTTTTCATTTTTTTTTTCTTTTTGTATTTGAGTGTTGGAGAGAAATCATTTCAAGATTGTGGAGATCTGGAACTTGTTTCATCTCTTATGCCCCATGAAAAATCTTTTTCTTTCCGAATCCTGCAAAGAAACACAAGTGCATGCTCTGAATCCACAATCATGGCTTCAAGTTGAAAGAGGGAAGATCTCCAAATTTTCCACGCACTCCTCGTCTTCTATGTAAGTACCGCTTCTATGTTCATTTACTGAACTGGGTTTTGTTTTTCTTTTCCTGAAACTAAGATTAGGTCATTTTTCTGTAGAGAATCTCTTATCAAGGTGCCCGAGCCACCCATCCTCCCATTCTTTAAGCCCCTTGATTATGTTGATGTTCTAGCTCAAATTCATGAAGAACTTGAGTCTTGTCCGCTCTGTGAGAGACCGAACCTTTACTTGCTACAGTTTCAGGTCTTTAGGGGCCTTGGAGAAGTCAAATTGCTGCGCCGGAGCCTCCGATCAGCATGGCTAAATGCCACCACCGTTCATGAGAAACTCGTATTTAGTGCATGGCTTAAGTATGAGAAGCAAGGAGAAGATCTCATTGCCGACTTGCTTGCCTCATGCGGGAAATGCACACAGGAATTTGGACCGTTAGACATTGCCTCTCAGCTTCCCACTGATTTAAACTTGAATTCCCTTGAAACAGTTGAGATTGTGGGGAGTCATATTTCCAGTACGGTCTTCTTCCAAATTGGAGAAGAGAAGATAGCCTGTGATAGGCAGAAGATTGCATCTCTGTCTGCTCCATTCCATGCTATGCTTAACGGATGTTTCATGGAATCACATCAAGAAGACATAGATTTGTCTGAAAATGGTATCTCCCCTTCGAGCATGAGGGTGGTTAGTGAATTTAGCGGGACAGGCAGTTTGGAAGGGGTTTCTCCTGGTACCTTGTTGGAAATATTAATATTTGCCAACAAGTTCTGTTGTGAAAGGCTTAAAGATGCTTGTGATCGGAAACTTGCATCTTTGGTCTCCTCAAGACAAGATGCAATTGACCTCATGGAATATGCACTTGAAGAGAATGCCCCAGTCCTTGCTGCTTCATGTTTACAAGTGTTTTTACATGAACTTCCTGATTGTTTGAATGATGATCGGGTGGTTAAGATATTCAGCATTACTAATAAGCAGCAGAGATCAATCATGGTGGGGTCTGCTTCATTCTCACTCTATTGTCTATTGAGTGAGGTAGCCATGAACGGTGATCCCCAGTCAGATGTAACAGCCTGTTTCTTGGAACGGTTGGTAGAGTCAGCAACAACTAGTAGGCAGAGACAGTTGGCCTTTCATCAGTTGGGATGTGTGAGGCTTCTGAGGAAAGAATATGATGAAGCTGAGCAACTCTTTGAGGCAGCTTTCAATGAGGGCCATGTTTATTCTGTTGCAGGTTTGGCTAGGCTGGGTTTTATCAGAGGCCATAAACTTTGGTCATATGAGAAGTTAAGCTCTACTATTTCTTCCTATACCCCTCTTGGGTGGATGTACCAGGAGAGGTCACTATACTGTGAAGGTGACAAAAAGTTGGAAGACCTTGAAAAGGCAACAGAGTTGGACCCAACACTGAACTATCCATACATGTATCGGGCCGCATCATTGATGAGGAAGCAAAATGTTCAAGCTGCTTTGGGGGAAATCAATCGGATTCTTGGATTCAAGTTGGCATTAGAATGCTTGGAACTTCGGTTCTGTTTCTATCTGGCGCTTGAGGATTACCAAGCTGCCTTGTGTGATGTTCAGGCCATTCTTACACTTTCTCCAGAATATAGGATGTTTGAAGGGCGGGTGGCAGCTTCTCAACTCCGTACTCTTGTACATGAGCATGTTGAGAATTGGACAACCGCAGATTGTTGGTTACAATTATATGACCGATGGTCTTCAGTTGATGATATTGGGTCCCTCTCAGTTATCTATCAGATGCTTGAATCTGATGCAGCAAAAGGTGTGCTATACTTCAGACAGTCTTTGCTTCTCCTTAGGTATGCTCAAGTAACTTGTGGCCTTCGTTTTTTTTTTTTTTTTTTTTTTTCTTTTTACTTGCTATTGTTGTTTGATAGGGTTATGCTTCTGTCAAAGCAGATAAAAACTCATGGTTTTGCTTGATCAGGTTAAACTGTCCTGATGCAGCCATGCGAAGTCTACAACTGGCACGCCAGCATGCATCAAGTGAACATGAGCGCCTGGTTTACGAGGGGTGGATCTTATATGATACAGGTCATTATGAAGAAGGGCTTCGCAAGGCTGAAAAGTCAATCAACCTTAAGAGATCTTTTGAGGCCTATTTTCTAAAAGCCTATGCTTTGGCAGACTCTAGCCAAGACCCTTCTTGTTCTTCAACTGTTGTTTCACTTCTAGAGGATGCACTTAAGTGTCCTTCGGACAGGCTTCGCAAAGGACAAGTATGGTTTTCTTTCATCCTAGTTCTTTCTACCGATACATTTTAGTTTTTATGTTTAACAAAGCACATCTATCTTTAGTATAGGATGGGCCATACTTTTCATGGGAACTGTCAGAGAGAGGATAAATGTCTCCTATGAAGTTTTTCGTTGTTATAAAAGAGTCCACATTAATCCTTTCAAATATTTAGAATTTCTATGGCATTACAAATGCTTCAAACTACCCTGTTTAACCAGAAACTACAATGTATCTTTAATATGAATATAGTTGATGCAGGTTACCCAACCCATCCCAGTTATTCTGTTCTATCATAAATGCCTGAAAGGTTATAACATTAACTGCAAACCTATTCATGGTTATCTAGCTGAACTTAGACTCAAACTCTTATTCTCATGTTTGCCAGCCTGTAATGACCCCTATGTGTCCTTATAGCTATAATGTTCTTTTTTACTTTACACTCTTAGCTATTGGAAGCTAATAATGGCACTATCCACCCAATTCTTATTCATTCCATTTCTCTTGACCCTGAAGTATTTTTCTTCTTTATCCAATGCCCCCAATTTTAGAACCGTGTATATCTTTCTTATTCCTGATCAGCAACATGAAATCATAATTTTATTGATACAAGTGAGAGAAACCTCAACCATCTCAAATGTTTGAAACAAAGGAGGGGACCATATAAGAAACAGCGCAAGGCTTAACAGTTAGGCATATGCCAAATACACCTCACACACACCTCATACAAAAATACAGAGAAAAGAAAGAAAAAAAGAAAAGAAAGGAAAGGGAAATTTATCAAAAAAGAAAAAGAAAGGGAAGGGAAAGAAAAAGAAAGAAAGAAAGAGAAGAAAAATAAAAGAGAAAAGAAAGAAAAGGGAAGGGAAGGAAAGATAAGGGGAAAGACCCCCCCCTTTCAGCTAGTATTATGCATCTTCATTCTTCTTAATATAAATGTATTTTATTAAAAATAAAGAAAAATGAGATCCTCCTTCCTCTTCTTCCTCTTCATCCCCCTCCTTGTATTTGAGAGGCACCTCTTACGTTCTGAACTACACCTCACACCTCCAAGTAGTGGAACGCCTCATGTCACAACCATCCAAGCTCACCCACCAAAATAAAAGCAGGAAAAAAAAAAGAATAGAAAACAGCCATCCAAGTATATCTTTAACTTACCCCATTCCGGTGCTGTCTGTTCTGGGATGACTTGCAATGTTCTGAATGTGAAACTTGCAACCGAACCCCAATCTCACAAAATGGAGCCCATCATACTCCTTTAAACTCCTGTCATCACTCAATGAGTCATTCTCAAGAACATTGTGCATCTTAGGACCAATCCTATTCAAAGTGTAAAACAATATAAAAGGATGCTTCTATTTATGAATAATTGTGGACACTCATCCCAGAAAATTTCAGAAATTAAAGAAATTCAAGAGGTGCTCTTGCACAACAGTTGACTTTAGTAATGTTCTTAGCCATTCTTCAAGTTCAACTGAATTTCTTTTTTGTTTTGGCTATTTTATGGTCTATTTCATGATTGGATATTAATAATACATTCCCTAGAAGAAACCTCCACAAAGATGTTTACAGACGGCAGTATGGGGCTTTGAAACTTCCACCCTGTGAAAAAAATAATAACTCATAGTTGAAAGTTTTAATGTTTGTAGCCACAAAGAGTTATTCCCCTACACTTGCTGTAAAAATGTGGTGCTATACTAACTTGGACTACGGTGCAGTAAATAATTACCACTTCATATAATATTAGGATAATAAAAAGAACAACTCTTTTATGAAAAACATGTGATAAATACAATAGTTAGATTTAATAACATATAGATAAGTTCCCTTTGACAAGAAAAGGTGATATCAATATTTAATAATTGTAAGTAACCAATTCTCTAATATGCAGCACTAGAGGAATATGCTGCTTATAAAAAAAAACTATGGGAATATGCTTTTTGGCACATAATCATAAATAGAAAATTTAGAGAGGAAAAAATGGTTCTCTTCATTGTTTTCAATTCACATCTTGAAATATCTGCCCCCCTGATGGTATTTTAAATAGTAGACAACAGTGAGTAAGAAGGAGTTTTTGATAGTGTGAACCCACAGGATGATGAAATTTATTCTTTCTGATTCTAATATCAATATGTAGTAGAAAAAAGAGGAATACATGCAATAATTGTAAAGTTTTGGGGGGTTTTCCCTTCCTAAGTTCAATTTATCATGGGTTAGCAGCTTTTGAAGTGCATATGTAGCTATTTGATGCAGTCACAGATGAGATTGTACTTAAACTTTCATCATCCTGTGGGTATTGTAACTTAAACTTGTTTCGAGCCTATCTCTGAAAACTTCTATTTTCTTGTCTTCAATTTTTCTCTGAATGTCTGTTTTTATGATACCTGGCTTAAGGCATCTCAGTTTCCACAAAAACCTAGTCAATCAAGTGGCTCACTATCTTATTAGTCTTGGCCATTCATTGTAAATCACTTCTTATGGATATCCAGTCTGATATTAAACTGGGAAGAATCTTTACTATTTTTTTTTTGATGAATGGGAAGAATAATCTTTACTATTGTTGATGAATCTTACTGTTATTGATAAAAAAAGATTCTTTACCATCATAGCTGGAGAAATGATAGTTGAGAAAGGCCAAGAATAACTAAACTTATTAAACTGTCTCATTAGATTTTGCCGCTTCAATGGGTCATCCAAGAAAAGTCTAGATTGATGAATTTATTTATGGACCAAATGTGAGGGTTTAGATTTCTATACATTTCCTTTGTGTTTATGGTATGATGTAATATAAAATGATATTCTAGTCCGGCTGTCCCACAGTATTTAACTTTCGAATTTCCACTTGACAGGCCCTGAACAATCTTGGTAGCGTGTATGTTGATTGTGGAAAACTGGATTTGGCAGCTGATTGCTACATTAATGCCCTCAAGATCCGGCACACCCGAGCCCACCAGGGTCTTGCTAGGGTCCATTACCTTAGGAATGACCGTAATGCTGCATATGAGGAAATGACAAAACTAATTGAGAAAGCTCAGAATAATGCATCAGCATATGAAAAGAGGTCTGAATATTGTGAGCGTGAACTCACAAAGGCAGATCTGGAGATGGTAACTCGATTAGATCCACTCCGTGTCTATCCTTACAGATACCGAGCTGCAGGTCAGATTTCCTTATCCATTTATTTATTTATTTAATTTTGTATAATGTCTTAAATGTGTCTAAAAGGGGGAGCCCGAGTCACCTTTAATTTGAAAAATTCATAGATTATAAAATTGATTATTTGACAGTCAAAGCATGAGGCAAGGAATGAAGCTTAAAACTCAATCTTAAATGTGTATAAGTTGTTTGTGTGCACATCATTGTGTGTGCAATATGCATGATCACATGTACACGCTATATGTAGGGACAAATATATAAATTAAGGTACATGCTATGTGTAGGGAAAACGCAAGAAAATGTCTCTATTAAGGTATCTATTTTATTTCATTTGCTTATTGGGGAAAACTATTTTCAGTTATTTATTAATGACAATAATTGGTTGAAATGTGGATTGCAGACCAAAATTATATTTCACAACTTCCAAATATCAATTACAGAAAACTCTTGATATTAGATACTCTTGAAAAGGTCTTAAGTACAACAAAAACATCAGGAATATTAACCGATTTCACAGTAAAATAGGTTAGGGAAAATGAAAGAAGCAGAAAAAATAATTCTTTTGAAAAATTGTAGGGTTGCACACTCACATTCTCCTTACAGCTTGACATGCCAAGATGGTGACTCGAATCCATGTTCCAAGTTGTTTACATCGAGTCTTGCCTTGTGGCTACTGTCACGAGCCTTGAAAGAGGATCAATAAAATAACTATATGCAAAGTGTAAGCTAATCCTTTGTGAGTTCTTTGCTTTGCCATAAAGGCTGGTTTATTTGTACTGTTGGTCTTTTAAATAATATGATCTTTGGATTTTTTTTTCTTGGGTCTGTTTGCCTTATTAGCTAATGGTCAAAAAGAATGTAATTTGGTAGCATTTGTCAACCTACTTTATTACAATCTAACTATTTTTTTGGATAAATAACTTAAGCTTATTTCATTAAGCAATATAAAACATTTAAAGTACAGGATAATACAAAAGAGAGAAAACAGGCTTTTACTCTGCCCTTTAAAGTTCATTACAACTCTGCCCAAAACAGATCATTCCTGTTCAGTGTTTACCCCTTGGTTAGCCAGGTTATCAGCCATAGTTGTTGGCTGACCTATAAACCCATTACACCTGCACCTGTATTCCAATAGTCAGCCACTTGAACTTCTTTATTTCATTCCTGAAAGCCCTTAAAGCTTCTTTTTCTTTAACCAGCCCACAACCACCTTGAGTCTCCTTCAATCACTAACTTTTCAATCTTCATTTCTCTTGCCTTTTGAATCCCTTGAATCAAAGCCATAATTTTGTTTATATGGAGTCTCCCTGTTAGCCCTGAGCCTTAATAATGCCCCTTTCGCCTCTAAAGATCCCCCTATGCCTGAAGGACCTGGGTTCCACATACTACTTCCATCAAAGTTAATTTGATATATTCCTTTTCCAGCAAAGTCCATAACATAAAAATTTTCATTTTTTTGTAGTTTTTGCTGACCACTTCCCTCCACCTCTTAACAATATCATCGGAAGAGTCAAGGGAAAAAAGCTCATGTGATTTACCCAATGTACCACTCTAATAGTAAAACTCTCTATGACAGCCTCCAAATGTCTTTCCATCTCATGAAAATTCTAACATTCCTCTAATAGTAACACACTCTATGACATCCTCCAAATGTCTTTCCATCTGATTGAAAATTCTAACATACCTTTCCTCAGAAATTCTCCAAATTACTGCTGCTTCTGTCACCATCCACAGCATCTTACCTCTTTTCTTTGGCCATTTGAAAGTTTCCAGATAAAATACACTCTCCATACTTGTTGGCTCATTCCACATGCACCCAAACAAGGAGAAAAACCTCTCCTAAACACGAGAGACAAATGAACAGGAGATTAATAGATGGTGGCAAAGTCTTATTATTAGCTTTGCAGAGCCATGGTTGCTGCTGCTGCACACCCCACCACCCCACTGTTGGTCAATTTGAGATCATGCACTTTGAATATTTATCCATCATTTACTCATAATCATAGCAATAAGGAAATGAAATCATTCTGACTTTTTAAACATTCGAAGGTGTGTGAAAACGGATTTATTATAAGGGTAGTGTGACAGTAGAGATGTTGTCTTATGATTCTAAAGGCAAAAGATGAACTATTTTCCGACTCTATTCAGACTCCCTCAATGAAAAAGTCAAGAAGTCAAGATAACAAACTCGAGCTTTATAACGCTTCAAAAGGACCACTTGTAATTATCAGGCAGCAGGGTTTTTCTGCGTTTAGCCCACACTGAAGATGATTTTGTATTTTTGTTGGAACAGTGCTGATGGACAACCACAAGGAAAAGGAAGCGATTGCAGAACTATCAAGAGCAATAGCTTTCAAAGCTGACCTCCACCTTCTACACCTGCGAGCAGCATTCCATGAGCACATTGGAGATATATCTGGTGCCCTGCGTGACTGCCGAGCTGCTCTCTCTGTGGACCCCAACCATCAAGAGATGCTGGAGCTCCACAGCCGTGTGAACAGCCAAGAACCTTGAGGGGATCCCAAAAGGGAAATTGTACACTAGACTAGATATAGCAAGCATATCTAATTATCTATTGTTATTTTTACTTTTTTTTTTTTTATCTTTTGTAATCTATGCAATCAGGTACGCAGTAATTTAATTTTGTCAAAATATTCAAATTTTGCCCTTTCACGCAATTTTTATTATGTGAAAGGAGAAAATTGTTAAAAAATTATATATGGTCCACTGCTTCTTGTTCTTTTTTCCTTTTTATTTATAAACTTGAAAATTCGTTCATACAGACAGTTGCAGTAACAGAATGTAGGGAATGAACTGAAAAGTACTAGCCCACTAGTTTGAGTTGTTAGACCTTACTACCTCAGTAGGCCTCCCAATGGTCCAATTTCTACAAAGTCCAGAGGATGACAGTGTGGTGGGAAAACCAGCGTAGGTACAATCACTGAAAAGTTGAAGGGAATGAACATGGAAAATTAAATGCTTTAACTTTCCTTTGCCTTGTAGCTCCCAACCAGAGATATGCCCTTTGCAAGTGGTATGATTACGAATATCAATCAGGGCCGTCCAATTTGTAATATCAAAATTGAAGGAACACGAATAGCATGTTTTGAAAAAGTGCCTACCACCTAAAGCAGGTATGGCATTATAGACTAGTGAAAGAGAAGACTAAATAAAATGGAGAAAGATATTGAAAAGTATAAACAAATTTGCAGGTTGATTTCTTTTAGTTCTTGTTTTTAGACTGTCTGCATGAAATGATATTACAGGGTTGGGAGTTTTGTACTGGCACTGGCATTTGAACCCAAACGAGGCGTTACTACATGATTTGTTTGGATTGATGTCCTCTTGATTTCATTTTTCTTTACCTTCTATCTCTTATTTTATCTTAAGGTTTTTTATAGATTCTTTGACTCCAAATTTTTATAGATCTGTACAGTTAAAAACAGTGTCAATGAGGAATCTATTACAGGGTTTTCTTTCTTCTTTCTTTTTTTTTTCCTCTTTCTATTCTTTCCTTAAGTAGCCTACAGCCACCCCCACTTAAATAGATATATCATTCTCATTACCCTAATAAGTCAAATCAAGATTCTAAATAGGGCCTTTTTTTACTTTTTTTTTTATTTTTTTAAAAACCGATTCAGGAGGGATGATTGAAGGTTCCTCCACCCCCCTGAACGAGTCAGAACTCCGATACATCCTCTGTAGGGACATACCGGAGTGCTTCCGATACAATACACATCAACCGATATGGGTCAATACATGTCAATACTTTAAACCTTGAGTCAAAAAAATTAAACCGTCTGAACTGTTCAACCCAAACGATCTAACTGCTGACCCAGAAACTGGTGATCAAAGCAGTTGCATCTCCGGACAGTTTTTAAAACCTTGCTTTGATAAAGTGATGAACATGAGAATAGTAGGATTGGAATCTGGATCAAGGTCACGATCGCATATGGTATTTATCATCGCTTTACCGTTGACAGTTTACGTTTCCAACTGAAATACTAAGCAAGGGCAAGGGTATAACTCAGTGGCTGACCCAATACAATTCCTTTAGGGGCATATCGGGAAATCACCGGCACAATACGTATCAACCGATACGTGTCAATACTTTAAACCTTGCTTTCAATACCCTGATTAACGGAATTTAAACTCATGATAGTGTTGTCCATCATTAATGGTTAAGGTCCAGTGGTCCACTAGTAAAAAACTAAAAAATAAGTAACTCCATTGATGCTATATTCAACTGGTGAAGTCCGATTCCCTGTATTGTTGAGACTCCCACTAAATTAATTAGAGATTGAATGGCATAGTGTTTAAACATTTTAATGAACCTATACATCATTCCATATAATTCACTTCTGTAAACAGTTACAGTGATTGATTGACCTTACCAGGGTTCATCCATGTGGAACTAAGTAGCGCCGTCAATGTATTGGCTCTGGGGTTCGGCTTTCAGTTTTATCGAGGCTTGATCGCATGCTCCGAGACTACATCCCAAGTTAGGGTATTCCAAGTCCAACCAACTGTTTGTGAATTTAGGTTAAAAAGGATAATCTGGATAATCATAAACAGATTGTTGAGCTTTTTTTCTCACGTTCACTACCAGTCTGTCATTTTGCATTGCCTTCACAGCGTATCTAGCGGAGAGAAGCTATAATCTGGATGATCGCATTCCTTTGAGACTATCTATGAAGCCTAAACCACTGGCAGTCCAAGCAAAAAGATGATATACAGAGCAAATATTCTCGACTTTGATAATGAGATTGAATGACGAAAGAGTATCTAAGGTTCACTTTGATATCTCCTAATCCATCAAACACTCAAAAGGCAAATATCTTATATTTCATATTAAAAAATATAATACAGGGTTAACCCAAAGAGTTCAACAAAAATAATCAAATTGTCTTTTCAAGTAATTATGTATACAGATGCTAGATTAAAAAAGGAAAAGTACAAGTTAAAGAACATAAAGAATAGCAGATGGACTGGGTGTAAGGGAACTTTATTACTATAATTGGAAAAGGCCAGTTCCGCACATGAACAATTTGTAGGCATACCCTTTTGGAATGCCTTTGTATAGATCATCATAAATGAGCAAGAGTAAAATTTCAGAGTGAAATAAGCCCTATACCTTTGAGATATTTCAAGGGCAGCGTCAAAGATCAGAGCAACCCTTCCTTGTATATGCAGCAACAATTCATCAGCTACACCACAAGTGTCTTCAGCTCGTGGTTTTGTTCAGGAACAAGAAGATCAGCAGAATCAAAGTAACCTGAACCATAAACCTAGAACCCGCCAGTTGATCTACAATTTGCTGCCACCTGTAAGTTAACCAGTAGATAGCTGCTGATAAAGCCTGTTAACCCATTTCCAAGGTCTCCATCATAATCGGAAGAGTAGAGAAATGATGAATTACTAAGATGGAATTAAGACTCAACCAGAGGAGTCATATTTTGTGAAAACAAAGAAAATGACAATCCCAATACAAATTCAACCCCAGGAATTACAATATACTGGTTACCGAAGCCAATTTTCACTGTCCAATTCAAGGAATTGAACCATGCAAATATATACTGTAGTACTTTGTGTTTCATAGCTCAATTTAAAAGCTGAAAGTAAACAACCCATGACAATAATTGGTCACTTGAGCAACATTTACTGAATCTATATCACCAATGCTAATCTATGATAACCAGATACATGTACATGCCATACCAGTGACAGAAGATATGTACTGGATCCGGCATTGGATACTCCATAGAAAATTTCTAGACTATATTTTATAGCACCAACACTTTTTAAACTATGTAAAAGGGATAGTAGTATCCCCATCTTTGGTATCTGTTTCTACGTCAGTATCCATAAATGCGCTAATGTTTCCAATCAAGTGGGGCAATGACTAATCCTTTCTAGCCCATGCACTGACTAGTTGACCAAAACAGATGTGTTCTAAATTTAAAATATTGATGCTATACATAAATAAATTAATATAGACTGCAAATATGCAATAAAAGAATGACAGTGAACATTTAATTTGCAATCCTTTTTTATGGATTTAGTATACAGACCTTGTTTTTGCAAGCATAAATAAAGCCAGACTACAAAACCTAGGATAGGAAGTTACAGCCTTCGTTTTCCATAGAAGAGTTCGCAACTTCATATGAAGCACACTACTGATCGGAAAAAAACTTGAAAGAATTTTCCACTTTATTCTTTTATTTGTCTTGTTTCTATTTTATACCATCAGCCAACCATGTTCATCACAAGAACTTAAAGCAACTGCATGCATATAATTGTGGTTGACTAGTCATTAATTTCTTTATCCGATATTTTAGTCAGATACTTTAGTCATCCCAGTATTGACAACTAGTTAGTGATGCAGTCATTGGGCTCTCAACTGCAAAGCATCAACTTGCCATCCAAGGTGACCACACTAAGAATATTGACCAATTAGTTAGGGATTCAGTAATCTGGCTCTTAATTGGCCAAAAAGAAACATGTAAAAAATGAATTGAAATAGTGACACCAAACCATTTGGCTTCTCTCTGTTCAAGGATAGAGCTTCTAACATGGGGAAAATAAAGGATAATAGTGACACTGGACCATCAGATTTTCTCTCCGACATAGAGCTTCTAGCATGTAAAAATATTGGGCATGTCTGCAAGCAAGCCTTTTCATTCTCTAGCCGACATATGCTTAATCTGGATTTAGACAGGCTTATTTCAGTGTTTTCTGCACCAGATCAATAGCAAGTTAGCAACTTGCCATGCTAGCCTGTCTTTCCCTTTTCAAAATGAGTTATATTTTCTAAATGGTGTGGCAGATTGCTATTGGTTGGTGCAGAACGGTGTAGAGGATGTGAACTCCTTGGAGACAAGGCTCAAGGGAAACGCCTTGATGCTCACCCCAGAAATTACCAAGTATATTCCACCTTGAGAATTGAGATGACTTTTTTGAGTGTATGTGTATGTTTGTCTCTCTGATCTAATATATTTAAAGCCAATTTGAGGTATTATTCAACATATAAACTTCTAAATGATTACTGAATATCTTGTAAGAACGCAATGGCTTTCTTTAAAGCCCCTAATAGTCTCAAATCCATTGTTTATGTGACCATGCATTCATTTATATGATTCTCCTCGGCAGTATTTATCCAATGTATTTTTTGATGAATTATTTATCCAATGTATTTATCTATAGTCTCCACTTTTTCAATATTGGCTTGATTTTAGCAGAATCTCTAGGTACAACAACCAAAGAAAAGAAAAGTCAAAATGGTGTTGCAAATATTCAGGTGGCATAGGAAAAGGGGAAGGACTATGTGGAGAGGTTTGAGGGCTGCAGTATGTTGGACAATATGGGAAGAAAGAAACTTCAAGATATTCTCAGTGGCAGAGAGAGGGGTGGAAGAACTAAAGGCTATCATTCATTTCAGGGCTGTACAGTGGCTGAAATCTTTGGAACTATTCACAGGTTACACAGTGTATGACATGTTGAGGAAGTGGGGTGAAATAGCAAAGTGCACACAGACCAAGTCAGTAATGAGTGTGTCTTGGACACCTCCACCTACTGGGTTCATGAAATTAAATTTTCATGGGAGTAGTAGGGGGAACCCTGGACAATCAGGGATTGGGGGTGTCTTTAGGGATGAGAATGGGATCATTTTTTCCTTGTTCTCAGGCCCAATTGGAGTGGGTGACTTCCTTAGAGCTGAGATCTTTGCAGTTATGGAAGGAGTCCAGAAAGTCAAGGAGATGAACATCAGAAAACTCTTAATTGAAGGGGATTCGGAGGTGGTGATAGGGTGGCTGAATGCAGACAGAAATGGTCTATGGAGGTACAGTAATCAGAGGAGGAAATTTGCGTGGCTGGTGCGGGAGATGGAAGTTAAAATGTGCTGGGTCAAAAGATCAGCCAATTCTCTAGCTGATGGTTTAGCTAAACAAGGGGCAGAAAGGGATTCAATGTAATTTTTGTCTCTACCTATTCTTTTGTTTTCTTGATTGTACTTGGAAGATAAGTTGTTAGGAACCTGCCT